TAATAGAAAGCCTTTTTGGATTAAGTCTGTTGTACAGAAGCAGCTCAACACCTCCACGGAACGAAAAATAATCCTAGTCAGCAGAAATATAAATAGTAAACAAGAAATAAAGCTAAACAAATACTAAGTTTGTGTGGTTCCAGGCGAGTTTACACAGAATTATTACTGGCAAGATGTTTCGGCTTTGTTTTTGATGTTATACTCGCTTCACAGACCACTACTCTACCATTGACTATACTGAAATACAATGTAAAATTACAGGAACAATGTCGACGGATAATCGAGGAATGTGAGTTCCAATTCGATTTAATACTAAGTCATACTCATTGAAGTGGCTGGGGAAAGATCCATAAACTTGTGAGTCACGAAGCCTCTTCTGGATGGTCAGGATCTCATGCTAAGTAGCGGCAACAGCTCCTTTCTAGAAATATGTTGAAAAAGGAATTGCAGAGCTCTCAAGATTACTACAAATGAATTGAACATTTCCTTCTAGCTAAGGACGGACGTGATGTAGTGGGAAATGGCGCACTATCTCATACGCTTGGTCATGGGTTCGGATCCCGAGTTGACATCCAGTTAGGTCAATCGAGCCTTCTTCCCCTGGTTCGGTAGCAGACTCATCCAGGACGATAGAAGTACTGAGATGTACATACATCAGCTGGCTACCGCAAGTCATTGTATAGGCCACACACGCATTCAATGGGCTACTACGATTCTGAGTGGCAGTCGAATGCACAGCGTATCCCTCAGACAGGATTTATCAACCCTTAAAACTTCATCTTCCTATGCCTTAGTTGTCTTCTAGCCAAATATTGGATTCACTACAGGGTAGCTCTCACTGGGCATGTTGCGATGATTTTGAGCCTGTTCCTACACTGTGGTACCACCCACACCTCAGCTTTGACTGAATGGACTTTGTAGGCATAAATGAAACTGTGAAGGAGGTTCTATTAAAGAAGTTTCCAGCCAAGAGCTCCAATGTTTCTAATCAGTCAGATTTATTTAAGTGTATCCGAGACTGAAGTCAGATGTAGAGTACACTCATCATCACCTGACTGATCTCGAAGGGAGGAATATGAAGATCGATGTGAGTTCAGTTTTTTTTTCGCTAAATGCTAAAGATTGTTGAAGAGTTGCATATATGAGTACTGTTTTGTTTTTTGTATACAACCACACTTGAATTCGCTTCGAATTTGTAGGACCAAAAAGATGAGAGGAAGGGGGGGGGGGGGGGGGG